GAAGCCCTTATGGATCAATTTGTAGAGAAGGCCCTTGTGCCACACCTTGTCAAATGCCTTTGAGACATCCAGTAGCAAGATGCCAGTACTTTGGTTACGGGTCAACCCCCTGGTTACTCGTTCAACAAGCCTTATGGCCTGTCGCTCCGTACTATGCTCAGACCAAAAGCCAAATTGCACGTCAGGAATCACATTGTGGTCTGCCGAGAAATTTTCAAGGTGACATAGAATCACCTTTTCAGCGAGCTTAGAAGGAGCTGACAGTAGACTAATGGGGCGGTAATCTTGGGGGAATATCGAACCCACCTTCTTTGGAATCATTATGACATCAGCGGTCTTCCACGCCGTTGGGAAGTGCTTTGTCCTTAGCATGGCATTGATTATTGCCACGAGATAGCGCCTTATTAGTGATTCGATCCTCTCCAGGTGCTTTACGCACCTTGAGATCTTTAATATGACCTTGGAGCTCTGCTGGTGTGCAATGCGGAGTCTCAGGAGATTCCGCTGATGTGCCGTGCAGCTCTTCAATTGAGGAATCTTCTGAGGAAAAATCACTAAGGGAAGGCACTACTGCCACTGACGCCGTTGGCACTAAAATATCTCCTGACGGATCTTACAATATGTTGCTCCTCGTCGAGGTCATTATCAAGGTCATAGTTGGGGGAGAACTGACTTTCCATTGCATCAGCGAAAACCTCGACCTTTTCCTCTGACCTACAGACTATGCCCCTAGGACCGTGGATGTGCGGGAGTTGTTCTCGCTTTCCGTTTCTGAGCGACTTTGCAACTTTTCAGAGATTAATACTTGAGTCAAGCATCCCCGACAGAAAGTCGCTCCATTGCTCATTACGGAATTCATGAAGAGCATTTCTCACTTCATGAATAAGATTCGTTGGTCTGTGAATTTCATCTGGGTGACAAGACCTCTTCGCTTGCTTAATTGCAGCTATTTTGTCAGAATTTTTCTGACGAATGTCTGCAGGGAGATATAATGTGATGTAACATCTGCTTCAGAGATGTCTTTATTCAAGGTCTAAGCTGTAAGTTGTTTACTATAGCTGGAAGGAAACGGCAGTGCATAGGTTCATACTGAGGATTTGTGTGCTAACAATATGTGTTAATAATTCCATTGGTTTCTTTTCTCAAATACACTTACTTTAGTTGTACGCATGCATGCCCTGGTTGGTGCAATTATATTACAACCAACATGTGAGAAAATATGCAACAGACAGGAATATTTATGAAACTTGAAAAAGTTATTACATTTTGCATTATTTTTTATTTTCAGTCATTTAAATTTTAGAGAAATTTATTTTGCGATATGAAATAGAAAATACAAATCAGCGCCTAGATATAATGCACTGCGAAAGTGTTTTGTGTGTGATGCGCCATTTCTATTTTTTCGGTGATGTGGCTTAATTGCACTCAACGCGGGGCGGGCACGGTGGTGATTTCCCGTAATGCTTCTCAAAGTTATTGAAAACACAAAAACCCGGGGAACATGGTCGTTTATAGACTTTGAACATCGCCTTTCTCCAGAAAAGACAACACAAATAACCCGGAGTGAACTATTTGCATACTAGTAACTATCTAATCAGCAAATTGACATTTTGACGTTTTTTTAACATTATATAGCTTTTTTCGTAATATTACCGCGTGGGATTTATGTTCAGCAGGATGTTCGTCTCGGCGAAAGGGGGGGGGGGGGGTATTGCAGATTGAAAAGCGGAGGGGAAAGGGCGAAGAACAATAAAAAAGTGCAGCATATCTGTATAAGAAAAAAAGGAACAATTACGCTCGTCTTATTCGAAACGAAAAGAAAAAATATTATGAAATTACTATCGACCAATGCAAGGGGGATAGCAAAAAAATGTGGCAAACTTTAAAGCAAGTTGTAGGCAGCAAAAACAAGAATGTTCTGTCATATGACAATATTGAATTTGAGGAAGATGCTGGATCTGTTCAAGAAAATTTTAACAATTTTTATGCAAAAAGCATAAATGAAATAGCCGACAAAATACCAAAAGTTGCACCGACATTTCAAGAATTGCCACAGTTAGGTGACGGTCTGTCAAGCTTCAACACTATAAGCATTGATCAACTTAGAAAAGGGGTAATGGAACTTAAAAACAAGTCAACAGCGGATGATAATTGTAATGTTAAGTTTTTGAAAACGGCTTTTTGTGTTCTCGGATACCCTTTGCTTCACTTGATCAATGCATCCCTTACAACAGGAAAAGTTCCAAAAGCAATAAAAACTAGTGTTATAGTGTCTATTCCAAAAGTGTCCACACCAAATAAACCAGCGCAATACCGACCCATTAACTTGTTATCAGTGATAGACAAAATCTTAGAAACCGTGGTTTGTGCGCAGTTACGGGAGTTTCTGGAGGCAAGAAAACTGTTGTTTAAGGGAGAGTCGGGATTTCGGGAAAAACACTCGTGCGAGTCGGCGCTGCAGTATGTCTGTTCGAAATGGCGTTCATACATTCATGACGGGAATATTGTGTTAAGTCATCGAGCTTCACCGTGCACTTGAGACTATTGATAGAAATTGCAGACCTAGGGGATTACAGACATTGCACTAAAATGGTTTATGAACTACTTGTAAGACAGTTGTCATGTGACGAAGATTAATAACGTGGCGTCAAATTCAATTGATAGTGAAATTGGGGTACCTCAGGGTAGTGTGTTGGGCCCGCTTTTGTTCCTACTTTATATAAATGACTTGAACAGGGTTTTAGTAAATACATTTTTGAGCTTATTTGCAGACGATACATTGCTTTATGCGTACGGTAAGTATTTTAGACAAGTTGTAGATACTATGAACTCAATACTGGAAATTCTGTATAACTACTCGTAGTTATGTGTTAATAGGCTTAAGTTGAATGTAGAAAAAACAAAATACATGGTTTTTGGGACAAAGCAGAACTGTAATACATTTTTAGAAAATAAATTTTGTATTGAGATAGATAATATTCAAATTGAAAGTGCATCTAGTATGAAGTATTTGGGCGTAGTTTTAGATCCTCAGCTAAATTTTTCATTGCATGTTGATTATGTTAGTAAAAAATTGGGAAAAAAATAGGATGTTTTAGGCGAATATCTGAAAGTCTTAGTCACTGGAGTCGTCTTCTTGTATATAATACCATCATATATCCACATTTTAATTATTGTTTTTCATTGTTGCTATCATGCAAAAAAACTGATATTCAAAGGCTCCAGTTACTACAAAATAAGGATATGCGCACTATATTATTTTGTACACGTTATACGTCTATTAATTTAATGTTAAAAACAGTCGGAAGGTTTTCAATACAGCAAAAGGTTGAAATGTCAAATGTCTTATTTATTTTTAAAACAAAAAATCATTTATTGCCTGAATACTTGCAGGAATATCTAATACCGAGGTCCGAGAGGCATGCATATAATATCAGGTCACGTAACACTTTTGACATAGAATTCGCTAGAACATCCCATATGCAAAAATGTCTTTTTAGTGATGGTTTGAGACTTTTTAATGCATTACCTACAAAAATTAGAGAAGCGACGTCTGTAAATATATTTATTCGTAAGGTTAAGCAATTGTATCTAGATAAAATGGCATAATATATGTACTTTCTGTGTTAAGATAACTGTATGTCATTATCTCGCATTTGCTATTGTTGCATTTACTGTGGTTGCAGTTACTATGATTTTAAGGGAATCTAGAATTACTGTTTTTTTGTTTATTACTTGAGTAAGACACTATTATAAACTATAGGAAGTAGCTTTAGGCCTAAGAATAATAAACATTTCATTTCATTTCAAATATAACTAAACTGTACCTTCCCATTGAAATCCGCCCTTTTTATGCCACATAATCACTTCGAAGCTAGTTCCTTGACGAAGTCAGGAATATGGTAATGCTTAAATGAGGACCTAGATCCGTTTTCCCCATATCTGGCGGGTGAGGTGGCCTGAACATGAAACTTTCATCCTGGCGTAGAATCATCACTATAAGAATTTTCATTAAAATTGACTGGTGGCCAAATTCTATATGTTTTGTATCTGGTATCGCTATAACATTGACAATCACGTTAAATGCTGGATCGCCGCTTTTCCTGAATGCGCCCACTGATATTGATTGCCCCAACTTTTTAATGTTATCCCTTTCTGACGGATGCATTTCCAAGGAAAGAGGATCCAGTGAGACAAGAGTGTACCTGGAAGGCAAAGGCGTGCAGGAGCTGGGTGCTTGGAACCCCCACAATGATCTTCCAGGCAGAGATATTAGCTATCTAAATGGTGGCGTACTCAAAAGGAGATTGCTCCATCAGCTAATCTGCCCTAAAGCGATCTCATCCCCGAGGAAAAGGTAACCTTAGTTCAAGAATGTACTACTGCCCTTCAGAGTTTAATCAGATTTATAAAACTTACCCTACTGTGAGTCACCGGACACAGGGGAGTGCCGAGTAGCAGGGCTAGGTCAACACGGCCCTGAATGAATAGGGGCCTGGGAATAGCGTGACGAGAGAGCGATTACAGCAGATAGGCCAAAAGGTTCGCAGCGGTCCCTGACAAATGTCGAACGCGCTGGCTACCCGACAGGGATAGAGAATCGTTCAACTCTATGGTCGGGGGTTCTTGAACGGCCACTGCAGACTGAACAGACACTCATCTCTGTTAAGGGTGCGGAATGATCCAACCTGCCCTATGTGCTGAGAGGTCGAGACAGCGTTCCACTTTCTGGGATATTGCCCTGTATGTTGCAGCCTGAAATATTCGGGTCATGGAGTTTGATGGTGAAGTTGCTTACTTAATGGAATGGTCGAACATTAAAAGATCAGGAACGGTTCGACTGATCAGTAAACTAGAATGTAGAGTAGAGTGTTGGTACACTTGGGGTCGGCAGAAAGGGCCAAAGGCGGCCTACTTGCCTGGTTTCGCCTCCCCACGACTACTACTACTATCCCTTCCTAAGAACTTTTGTAATTCAAGACATTAATGAAACTATTGCATAAAAATTCTCTAATATTTATTAACAATGAAAGGGCAAATAAAAAGTAAGAAATACAAATATAATAACAATGTGAACATGACTAAGAGTTTGAAAGCAACTAACTGGGATGCAAAAATAAGCATTTGAGTTAACAAAAACGATCAGCACCTTAACAGTAAAAATTTCGGTATGTTTTGGCAATATATCAAAATAATTTGGCGTTACAGAACATTTGTACGCGTGGGCTACGAGCACGAGCATTTGAAATTCATTTTTTTTACTGGGGTTAGAAGTATGTGAATTGTAGAAAATGATGAAATGAGATCAGAAATTGTAGTAGCAAAAATTGGAAAATCAGTTTTTGAAACTGCAATGGAAATATTTTTATTTTTTCTTATGTACTAGTAAAATTCATCAAAATGTATAACAGAGACATTTGTACGATTCAAGACAAGATCATGATGTGCAGTAGGTAAAGGAAAATTATGTCTTACATAATGATTATCTTTATGAATAAGAAATATTTTAGCAGGGTTATCAGCCTTATAAACATTGAGTATGCTTTGAATATCAGTGTTCTGTTTAGCTGTATGCTTGGAAGCTACCACAAAGAAAAATACCAATTGAGACTGCTCTTGGAAAAAGTCTGTATATACCTCTAACTCACTTTTATTAGTGGCATACCTTATATTCTCACAACTAAGAAATATCCTCTGCAATTTTTTATCTTTGATACTAACAAGACTTTCAAACAATCTATCTATTGCCACTTCCTTGTACATTAGCCTAAAATTTCTGAGTGAAGTTGCATGTTTCAAGCTTTTACAAAGATTAATAATAAACTTTTCATTTGGATATTCACAAGTCAAGCTTAAAGTATGCAACTTTTTACATTTTTTCAAAGAATCCTCTAGGAATGAACCATCTAATAAATGTGGAATTTCCAAGCTTAGTTTTTCTAATTTAGGAAGCATACTTATAGAGATATATCCTGCTATGATCCCACCAGTAACACAGTTGGGGCAATAATAAATTTCTAATTCTTTCAAAGATTTTAGCTTTTTGGTTATTTTACAGAAAGGGTGTTTGTCTGTTTTGGTCTGCAACCCAATTCTTTGCTTTTTGAAACCAGTGGTAGGTCTAGATAATTTATCTAGTTCCTCAGTAGAGAATAGACAAGATCTAAAACTTAACCGTTTTAAAAATTTACAATTTTTTGATGACAATATTTCTAATGCTGCATTAGTATATTTTGTGTTACACAATATGACTGCCTGACAAAAGTTCAAATCTACAAAATTCACATCCTTGATATTATGATTTAAATAAATTTGTCTACTTTCTTTGGATCCACAAGGCATATCTTTATGCAAGCTCATGAAGACATCCCAGGCATTCTCTAAAGCGGTACCTTTTGGTTCAAAAATTGAAGGTTTACATATGCTCCCTCTAGTCCTTACTCTTTCACATATAAATTCAGTTTCAAAGTTACATCTTTTACATTCAAATACCTTGAACAAACCTAAGTACCTTAAGTCATAATATGGAATCACACACTTTGATTTTATGACAAGTTTGCTTAAGTTAGGTAAAGATACAGCAATTCTTTCATAGTCTATCCTATTTACACTCTCTTCATCATCTGATATCCACAGCTCCTTAAGTTGGTCCATTCTTGCAAAGAAGGATATCACATTAGAGGCACCAGTGATGTGATCCTCTTGTTTTGAGGTTATTTTCAAGAACATGTATTTCAAGTCTACTAGATATTTGGCATATATAACTGTGCCAGCTTCAAAATGAGTATCTTCTACAGTCAGAGACAGTCTGGATAGCTTGCCATACTCCACAATATCTTTTTCTTTCAAACTCAGATTTGTATCAATGGCACATAGTTCTTTGAGGTTTTTCAAGTCCCTAACCATTTTTCGGAGATCTTGGGCTGGTATCCAGTACAGACCGTCAATTTTTAAAGTTTTTATTGCATTGTAGTTGACTTTAGTTAAGATGAACTGACACACATCCAAGTTGAAAATTACGAACTTTCTGGCAAAATCTATAGTTTTTATCACCTTACCATCTTCCAGGAAGTAATCTAAGTTCGGGAACGCAATGCAGAATTGCATCAATTCGAAAGTATCCAGATATTCCAGAATTTGTTCCCATATTTCGTTTGGCAGTAACGCAACCATTTTCGAGCTTTCACGTGCACTATTATCGAAGCACGATGTAATACTAACGTGCACAGATGTAATATAGCATCTTAAAAATAAGTTAATAAAATTAAACACTGAAAAATACCGATCATCTTTCACCCTTTACCATTTTGAGTTAGGTTAGGTTCTGAATTTTTTGTTTACGTTGTCAGTGTGGTTGTTAGTGATAAAAGCTGCGCTGTCAAGCATTTCCATTCACTACACATATGTGACCGTTTATACTCGTATACTACTAGTTAATTTCTAAAGGCAGTTCCACAATTGAATTGCAAATGCAAAGTACGCCGCGGAAAAAGGAGAACAAAAGTACGTATCACACGTGACATTCCATACTTGCATCACAAAATTGGGACGATACAATAATATACGTCAAAGATATATTGAAGAACGACAAAATTGTCGATTTTTTCATTTTGAAAAATCTTGCAGCAGTGATTTCAGAAGTGACTGCTGACGTTTGCATTAGTAGTTTCTTCATTTCTTTCTGCTCATCTCCGAAAAGTAGGATGTTTTGCCGGAGCTTGCTGCAAATTCTTATTATCTTCCTCGAATCATTATAGGCGGTGTCACAGTAATACATTATTGTCAATGGTCCAACCTAAAAAAATATATCTAAAAAGTGATTCTGGTATATCGAGGCAGACGCAAAGGAGAAAGTTAAACTCCAGAACACCACAAGGATTCTCAAACATCTCTCTCAACTACAACTTTGGGTATCAATGAGATACCCTCGTATAATGGCTCTTAGGCAACCAGAAACATCGAACGCCATCTAGTAAGCTTCGATGAAGGTTCGAGTTCTGCCTAGAAGGCTTCTGGAATTCGTCGATTCAAGGGTAAATACGCATGCCGAGAGCGGACACGTTCGGTCGACGATGAGTTACCAACAGTGCGAATCCTGATAATCCAGTCGTCATAGCAATAAATTTGTAATAAGTGTGTCGCAAGTGTTGAAATAAATTAGTGTAAGAGCGCACACGTCTTTATTTCGTCAATGAGGTCCCTTCCTTTGTGCATATCGGTCGCCGACGTTGAAATTGGAGTTTTTCAAGTAAATAAACAATTGTTTTCTTTATTTTTTACTCTGAATTGATATGTAAAGTGATTTTCAGAAAGGTTCGCATCTACTCATTCCTTCGACGGCTCAACTACTACTACTACTCGTCGTTGCTTCTCAATGCGGTCCGGAGGACCTTAGCCTTTAGGTCATTCGACGGCTCAAGTTAGCAAGCTGAAATTCTAAATAATGAAATTGACGCATGAATAAATATAGATATTCTAAGGTAAAAATAACAGTAGAAAATTCCAAGATGGCGACTGGAACAACTTCCTGAAGACTGGGTACGCGACGAAGGTCTATGAAATTTTATCGCGGTACGTGATGATACATAAGACGACTGATTCTGGTACAGAAAATTTTCAATTTTTTAAAAATTAGCCACACCGCAGTTTGCATCTTAGCATCAAAATACGTAAAATTTTACTGGTTTTCATCATCTCAGTACGTGATGTAACCAAAAGATTGCAAAATTACTTTTATTCAAAAGAATGTACTTATGAAATTGATGAAATAATGTATAAGTCTGGCAGGGGTATTACGTAACTTGAAAAGGTTTTTTATGAAATTATGTACGTTTTCCTACAAGACGTCTACTTGTAGCTAGCACTGCATGCTCCATGCAAGCGCTGAATGGAGATTTGCACACTAGCTTGCTTAGTCCACAAGTTGACATTTTATCATTTTTTTGCATTATATAGGCTTTTTATGTAAACATTCTCCAAGATTCCCCTTATAACGTAGCATCAATACGAATATCAGAAGCGCGTTAACGATCATAGAAAGTATTTGCGAATAATTACCAGAACAGTTGTATTTCTCTGTTCTTTATCATATACGTTCTTCGCATGGTCCTTATTATTATTTTGGTGTTGAATGAATAAATGAAAACACGAAATTAGAGGCATACCGGCCACCTTAAGGAGCCAGCGCATAGGCCACTCAGACGGCCCCTTGTGCACCTCCACATTTCTTAGACCTCAAGCCTCGCCATTCTAGCGAAGTTGAGTATGGCCTTGAGTCCTAGCTCCTTAATGTCCTGGGGGTCCAAATGATGGACCTCATTATAGTCTGCTTGTAGTAGCTAAGAATCTCGCAGCGACACAGAACGTGCGCCGAGGTCTCTTCTTCTACCCCGTAGCGCTGACACAAGGGATCCTCAGCCAACCCCATCACGTGCAGGTGGCGCCTTAATGTGTTATGGTCAGACAACAGTCCCACCAGCAACCTTAGGTTGGCTCTATCCAGAGATAAGCAGACGTTCCCGTGCCTGACGTAGATGCCTGGAGATGCTTCTCCATTTTCTTAGCGCGGGCACCCCTAAAGCTGGCTCAGGACCAACGAGCTTGCCGGTTGATCCTGTATTCGCCAGATCATCCGCCGTCTCATTGCCCTTTATCCCAGCGTGCCCCAGTACATCGCAACGATTTCCGCTTGAAAAATAGTGGTGTATCCACCAAGAGGCAGAGATAGCCTAGTCTTAGGCCACGAGAGCCCGGCGCCAGAGACCTCTTCGGTGACCGAGCCGTCCGTGTATCAGACTTGCCCACTCACTCCGGTAGCCGGCGTCCCACTCCTTCCTCGTGGGATACCCCACATTAAACATGCGGTTGAAGCAATACTTAGCCCCCGCTCAGAAAGACAGGATCCTCCCGGCAGTTCGACCAGGATGGCAGTATGACCCTTGACGGGATTCAAGAAGGCTCAGCTGCCCTGACTCCACAGTCGATGTGCGACTACTCTCGCCTCTCCACGGATCACTAGATCCAACTCAATGGCGCTGTCCGCACTGCGTTTGTACTGCTAATGCAGGCCAGTCGCTGAATTTTATTGAAATTGGCCTTATTCGTTCCAATGTAAGGCCACCAAACCAAGTAGCCGTACAAGAGAGATGTCGTGTAGAGCCAATGAATCACGTTGGGTTTGAGCCCCCACCTAACACGAACAACGCGTATACAAGTCCACCATAAATTGCGAGTCTTGTTAACCTTAAATTTAACGTGCTCTCTCCAGTTCAGTTGACAGTCCAGGATAATTCCTAGATATGTTACTGACTAGGATAGAACTAATCTAGTCCCAAAGAAGGTCGGCAAGACAAGCCCGTTAAGCTTTCTTCTGCTAGTGAATAGGATCAGCTCGGTCTTTCCAGCGTTGACAGAAAGATCCACTTGCCTACATCATGATTCCACAGCGCGCAAAGCGCCTTGCATAATCTCAAAGACTGTTCCACAAAAACGACCTCTAACTACTATGCTTACGTCCTCAGCATAAGCTTGCACGTAGACACCAACACTGCTTAGCCTAAAGAGGAGTTCGTTCACCACGAGGCACCACAGTAAGGGTGACAGAACTCCGCCCTGTGGACAGCCTCGAGCTATGCTGACGCTGCAACTCACTTCATTCAGCAGAGCTGTTGCTAACCGACCCTCCAGAGTGGATAGGACCCAATCTACTGGGATTGATCCAACCCTGTGCCTAACCAAGGCATGTCTGGTGCAGTCGGTTCTAGTGCAATTAAATGCACCTTCAATATCCAGAAAGGCCACAAGTGCCACTCGCTGATCTAGAGTATTTTCCAGTCTGCCGACCAGATTGTGCAAAGCCAGATCAGTCGATTTCCCAGCTTTGTATGCAAACTGATTGGAATGAATGTCACACCTCACCAGCGGGCCATTCCTCAAAAATCTGTCAACTATCATTTCCAAAGTCTTAAGCACAAAAGATGAAAGGATAATCGGACGAAAATCCTTAGGGCCAGTATATCTAGGTCTACCCGGTTTAGGAATAAATACCAATTTAGCCTGCCGCCAGCTTCTAGGTATGAAGCCCGTGGCCAAACATGCTCGAAACACCTTCAACAGGTAAGGAACAACCGAGTCCCGCCCATGCTGTAACTTTGCCGGAAATACCCCGTCCAGACCCGGGCTTTTGTATGGAGCAACCGAATCGATCGCCCATACCATCATTTCGAAAGTAACAATCTCCCTTGCAGTGCGCTAGTCCTCCCTTGGGCCTGCGCAATTATATGCACTCTGTGATTGACCGCGTTACTGTGGAACCGGGAAAGTGCGTATCCATCAGAAGCCTCAGAGTACCTTCCTCTTAAGTAGTACTACCTCCCGAGGGATCAGACAGAGACCCTAATCTTGCTCTAGTGTTTTTGCATAGACTTCTTCTGTGTATCCTAGCTGTAGCAGGAATGTCCTTTATGAACTGACAGCAGTTCCTCCAGGATTCCCTGGAAGCTCTTCTAATCTTTTTGTATGTTTGTATTCCTGCAACACCTTCTTGTAGTCTCTCAATTGGGGAGACCTTCTCCTGTGCTTAACTCTTCCAAGAAGTTTTGTGCACACCTCGTTTTCAGTCCTCTAGCTACTTGGACCAGAAGGTTGCCTTGCCCCTACCGTGAAATTTGGGTAATGGGCAGTTTTCCTCATACGAAGCAGTCAAGTCCCTGCTCAGAGAGCCTACAGCTGTTTCTATATCAGGTCCCCTACAAAGGCTGTATGGGACCCCTCTAAGTTTACTATCAAGGTCTGCCCTAAAGGACCCCAGTTAGTATGCCTAGGATTCCGAGCATATTTATCTGGAATCTCTCCATCAGTCTTAAACAGTATATATCTGTGATTCGATAGAGAGGGTATTAGAGACACTTTCCAGTCCCTAATCTCCTGAGCTAAATTGAGCGTACTCAGTGTTACGTCGATAACCTCTTCTGTGACATTGTTACTGTAAGTAGGCGTGTTACCGACATTCAGAACCTCAAGGTTCGATGACCCTAGGAACTCCATGAGGTCTTCGCCCCGTCTGTTGGAGTACGAGCTGCCCCACATCACGTGGTGAGCATTGCTGTCGCAACCAATCACGAGGTCGAGTCCAGAATCCCTACAATATGCAACAAGATCCCCCAGTTCCTTAGACGGAGGAGGTTCCCTTGAATCGTAAGGAAGGTATCCGAACATACGACCAGGTCTCTGTCAGCTCCTCCCTTCTTATATCTAATTCTAACTGCAACTAAATATCTGGAGGTAAAGTCTTATATCTTGGTGTTAGTGAAATGTAAAGTGATTATAATAAAAATCATGATTTATTTACTTTTCGTTAAAATCAGAAAACCTGACACATTCAAATAATAATATTGAAAAAGAAGGTTACGCAATAAAACAAGGTGCGTGGCATATTTTTAGACTGTTTTTCTCGTGAAATAATCAAAGGAAAGTTTATATAGAATTTATTGTGTCATATAATTGAAAGGGAGGGTATACATTTCTTCTGGAGTGCAACCATACATATTCGAATTGTGCCCTTTGAAAAAAAAATCTCGTAGGCGCCCATGATAGTATGTTGGATAGTTATTAAGTAGGTGCTGATACCAAGATCAAGAGGACGGACAGTAGCTGTCCTATGAGTAGGTATGAAATTTATGCGACAGATTTTTGAAATCGCAGCTGAAGTCCGGAAATGATAACAATACCAATGTTGATCTCTATTGGCTGATACCTGCCTTTGCCGACTATCCTAACAGTCAAGAATGCTTGTACCCAATAAACACTGCACCTTCACTTTTTTTCGAAGCAAGTCCAAAATGCCCTAAACGTAGCATACTCACCATTTTTTTAAATATATTGATCGCGAGCCTTGATAGTCGGAAACTTTGAACTCGGTAAAATTATACTTTTCCAGAGATATTAAGATAATATCGAAATAATA